CATATAACGAGATAGGGCAGGGAGCGATGTGCCGAACGCCTGTACACTGGTTCCGGGGGGACGAAACCATCGCTCCGCAGACTCCATGTGGAGTCTATAACACAGATAGCCATAATTAGATTGGGCATAAGACACTAAGTCAAGCGCCGCGGCCTCTATACTCGAGTATAAGAGACCATATAATACATAAGAATAGATAAACAAGGGGCGGCGCAGACATCGACGAAGGTCGGTGCACATGCGTGGCGATCGACATAGGTGATCATATGTCGGTGAGAACGTTTGGGTACCGGACTTTATGCGAAAGAACCGTCACCCAAGGTCAATATATATAGACCATATAGTATATAAGCTCCTTTGTAAGATTGGGTACAGGACAGTTTGTTAAATACCACAATCACTATACTCTGTATAGATTGGATTCGGACTGTATGCCAGAGGTATTATAGACGGGCTCATATCGGGCGCCGCACAGTGGATCGATAGATAGGAATTTGTGGACATAGCACCAAAGTGTGAGAAGATGAGGACATTTTAGGTTTAAAATAAATACTTATCAATTAAATAACGTTGTTATTTACAAAAGTAAATATAAAGTCTAGTTACTTGATATACAAGGCGTTTTAATACACCAAGGTCCACTATAGAAAAGGTTTACCAAGTTTTTGGTTTTTTATTTTTATCTTTTTCAAAAAAAAAATTTTTTCCACGAAATTTGGTGAAAACTTACCTTTTTATGTCCCAAATACACTGTAATTTATTTGATTTGAAATATTTATTATTTCGCCTTATTTTGACTTAATATCAAAAAAGCACCCTAATTTTCAATCGAAAATTCTCGCGTCAAAATATCAGCTTTTTTCAAAAAGTCGGTGTGCTTTTTGTTTGTTGAAATCTCTACTTTCTGATGGTGTAAAAAAATATACATTACTATGGTAAATGTTCTTAGAAAATGCAAAAAATATTATAATGAATAACGAAAAAAACTCGAATTCGAAAATTTATTTTAATCATTATGTACAATTTCATCAAAAAAATGTGATTGTTGCAATTTTTTTTAGTTAAAAAGTTTATTTATTAAATTCTAATAACATTTATGTCAGAAAATCTCATAAAATATAAAAATACATGTAAATCATACTATTGAATTTAAATCTAATTAGATACTTCATTCTGATTACGTTATTCATTATAATATTTTTTGTATTTTCTGAGAACATTCACCATAGTAATGTATATTTTTTTTTACACCATCAGAAAGTAGAGAGTTCATCGAACAAAAAGCACACCGACTTTTTGAAAAAAGCTGATATTTTGACGCGAGAATTTTCGATTGAAAATTAGGGTGCTTTTTTGATATTAAGTCAAAATAAGGCGAAATAATAAATATTTCAAATCAAATAAATTACAGTGTATTTGGGACATAAAAAGGTAAGTTTTCACCAAATTTCGTGGAAAAGTTTTTTTTTTGAAAAAGATAAAAATAAAAAACCAAAAACTTGGTTTTTTGAATTTTTCACATAAATTTTGAGATTATGTGAAAAAATTGTAAATAAAAAAGTTGTAGATCTTTTTATTACCTACAACTTTGACATTTAACTTTTTTCCATAGGACTTGTAGTTTTGCCGGAAATCGAGATAAACCATTTTTTACCCTTAAACCCCCCCCCTCCCACTTCCCGAACTCAGATCGCCCGTAATTTATTTTTCCTTTAATTTTTATTATATTCCCCTCATTTTCCAATGGGTTTCATCCTACTGTTATTTTTTTTCTCTTTTTACCATTTTTAAAGGCTTCTGCACTGGTCTATATGCTCCATGACACTCTATGATCTATATTTTCCAAGTGGCGCCTTGTGGCGGCAAATCTCTGTACATTTGTTTTAAATAACCTTTGAACTCCATAACAGCCATAAAAGAAGTTTATGCATATTTAAGCATTTTTTTAAAACTCAAGATAAAGTTTAGATTTGTGAAACGCATTGTATAACAATAAAATTTTAAAAATTATTGTTACTGAATACGTGTTGGTATTAAGTTAACCGGGCAATTTGCAAGCTTAGTTATCATATAAAATAAAACTATAAAAAAATATATAAGTTTTTGTTAAGGTATGAAGTTATGCTGTTTAATTTGTAATAGTCAGTTTAATAAGGAAAATAACAAAAAACATTCTTTACGAAAAACGCCTTCTGTACTGTTTAGTATGTTGCCAAAAAAAATTGTTATGCTTATTTTTAACAAATTTGAAGTTTTTGGGAGACATTTAAAAAAAAATGATATCAAGTTAGTAATTTTGCATAATTGCTGTATGTCCACTAACATATATGAGCTCGATCCACTGTGCGCCGCGGCGAATGCCAACCCCGAGCCATATTAAGACACCAGGGGCTACAGATACCAATAAACTGTAAATTGGTAATAGGTGGACAAAGTTACTCTCTTCACATTCTCACTACGATCATAGATCTAAAGGAGTGTCAATCTCCTGATCTGCAAATTCTTACGCTAGAAGTCTATGAAGAGAGTTTTTGGTGTGTTCCAATACACCAAATTGCCCAAAATTAATAAGACCCAAAATAGGTATATCTGTCTAGCTGTCTGTGGGTTTTTCAAGTTGGTGGAACGTACAAAAAACTCTTGCGAGGTGAAGGTTCAATTTTTTTAAATCTTTACGATAATGGGTCAAGAAAGTTTCTTGAAGAAACTAAGAAAATTGCTGTGATGTTATAAAATATTCTGAGATACGACTCTTTGCGGAAATATTTCTAAAATGTCTGATTCTAACAAATTACAATTGGATATAAATTCAATTTTTAGATGGTCAGATTTACTTATAGTTTAAATAATATTAATATTAATAAGGTTGAAATTGTTAAGGATCTATTAGAAATTGTAAAGAATTTAAAAACAAATCCACCTATACTCGATTATTTAATATGTATATACGACCGCAATTAGAATATAGTTGTGTTCTTTGGGATCCTTTTTACAAAAAATATACAGCATCTATTGATAAAATACAAAGTTACTTTTATAAACTTACAAATTACTATCTTAAAATTCCCATTGAATACAATTATTTAAATTTTATCAAGATATCTAACATTTTATGGCTAGAAAATAGAAGATCTTTTGTCAAATTATGCTATTTGTACAAGGTAATACATTATTTGGTTGATGACAGTTTTTCTTTAAATAGAATAAATTTTTACGAACCAATTTTGAAGACCAGGTTAGTCAAAACATTTTTTGAATAACAATGTTCTACAAATTATACTAAATACTTTCCCATAAATTATATGTGTATTGTATAATAATTTAGAAAACATTTTTGAAATTTTTGGTGTTAATTTTTCTGTTTTTAAGAATACTTTAAAAAGATATTTTTTGGACTTATGGTTTTTCTTATTTTGGTTTGGGTAGGAATCAAAGTTTATCAATTAAATTTTAAGATAGTTTTAGGTAACATTGTGGATATTTTTTTGGAGATTTTCGTTTTGTATTAGGAATACTTTCAAGTATTTATTGAAAGTGTATTTTTTATTTGGTAAATAGATTTAAGTAAGAATAGAAGTTATAATACATATTATGTAAATTAGTCTTAAGTTAATTAGTTTTAAGTTAATTTTAAAAAAAGCTGTGTAATTGGGAAAATTTTCCTGTAGAGTCTTTCTTTAATAAATAAATAAATACTTTCATAATAAATCATTCGTAAATTACTAAATCTGTTTAGTGTAATTTGTTGTACAAAATAACAATATCTATATTGTAATCTTGCGAAACGAATTTTCTTCAGTTCAGTAAAATTGTAAAATATATTTTGTAATTTTCTTAAACTGAGTTAAAATGAATTGTATATAATATATATATAATAATTACAATACACCATTTTAAAATTACCAAACATATTTAGTATTTTTTTAGCAAAATTACAATACCTGTAGTAATGTTAATGAACAAATTTTTAATAAATGCTTAGTGAATTTCAACAAACGCTTTGTAATTTTCCCAAATTGAGTTGTTATGAATCGTGTAGTGAATTTACGAAACTGAGTTTAATTATTACTATATTTTGGTGCGTAAAAACTTCCTAAACATGTTTAATAAAATTACAATAGAAATTTTTAACCGTGTTTGCTCAATGAACGTTTTTGGTCTTTGAGCAGGGACGTAGCGAAGGTTACAAAAATGGGTGGGTGATTCTCATTAAAATGCCGTTTTTTTAAGATTTTGCCGACTATCAAATTCTATAATGTAAGGAAATACCTTAGATTGATTGCATAATTTTTAAAATAAAAATACCAAAGTTATTTATATTTATTTTATTATTTATTTTATTACCAAAATAACATTTTTATAGAGACACAAATTCGCGATAAAATAAATTTATATGAATATCAGCATTTTTGCCAGCATTTTGTTTTAAAAGTTAGGTTTAATAACAAAAATCGTATAACTTTTCTGTTGACTATCATCCCTCGAAAATGCTAATTTATTAGTCGGCATTTACAAAATCCACGAACGTATAACGAAAATTTACAAAATCATTAAACATGTCAATAAAGATTCGAATTCCTCTTCAAGTTTTTATTAGTTACTTTTCCGACTAAATAATTTCTTTTGGTAGAATTCTTTATGCTATTTGCTTTTTGAATGAGGTTTTGCTTTTTACCCTTATTTTTACTTATAAGTATACATTCAAAAGGGTGTATCCTTTTATTGAATAGACTTTTTAAAAAATAGTCTATGAAATGTTCTAAAGTTCATCTTACATAATAAATTACACTATATTCTTTTAGAAAGAATTGTTTATCAAAAAAACAATTGGTATTTTAAAATAATGTATTTTAATTTAGTATCAGTATCAGTGTATACTTTTTTTTAACTATTGAGAGTCATGACTGCATGACATGCATGGTAAAGTAACATAATATCATAATTAATTCACTTTTTAACTGTGTACAATAAAAAACCTAATTGTTATATTTTTGTTTCAGAAAAGAAAAAAATCCAAAAGTACTCGGAATGGCGGCAACTTTGGTATCCAAACTTTGACGACTACAACAGAGCGGAAGCGATAGTGACTGCCGAGAATAACACCAGCACCAACGTAACAGTCCAATTGGGAGCCACTGCCTATCTGCATTGTCATGTGAGGAGCACGGGCGATAGGGCCCTCGCGGGAGCAGAGGTAATGACAATTTACGAAACTACATTACAAATAAATATATACTTGTATACGCAGAATGCGTAGCAGCATTGCCACATTAGTCAGCTTGACGTCCAATGGCACGGTTTTTGTTATGGTCCAGTTACTTAAGGAATATAAAGGCCCTTTATTAAAGGGGGTTTTTATAAAGCATTACGAAAAGGATTATTACACATCGTAAAATAATAGTCATGTTATTTTTAATTAATTTTTTAAAATAGTTTTCCTAATCCTCTACCAGGTGAATAAAATATCCTGCTACATCCAATTAAAAATATATTAAAAAATAATCGACTAGACTCTTGACATATAAATACCTAATATTGCATTGTTCCATTGCAAAATGTAAATAAAGGATAAGATTTTAAACGCAATTTTTCACTAAATACTTTTTAACAAATAGCTGTGACGGCACAGTAAACGCAACCCATTTAAAAACTACAGTATTCTGATTTATAAACTAAATACATTTCATACACTCGTGAGGTTAAGTGCTTCAATTTTTACAACAAAAAAATAAAAAGAGATGTAATTTTTATCTAGATATATAAGGATGTCAAAAATGGCAAAATAAATGGGGGTTGCTATTTAAAATTAGGGGTAGCTGCCCTGGGGGTAATGTAATACAACAACAAATACCTCACCAATTGTTCCAATCATTGTCATCAGTTAAAGAAATATAAAATGCTGTTCGTTTTTAAATTGTCAGTCTGTTATTTACAGGGCTCAATTTGAGGCGGAACGCGCCAAAACGGTCCAACTAACTTAAACAATCAGAGAATTGTGTTTTTTACTGCTTATATTACTTTACTACAACACATTTTTGTAGTTGTTTTTCAAAATTAAATTTGGAATTAAATAAAATAAAATTTTGGAAAACCAAACCAGGCGAGGTTACAGTTACGGCACCTCTATTTTTATAAAGCGAGCACTGTAAAATAGAGAGCGTGGAATATCCAATTTATTTGGTTATATCAAAAATATTAAACTTTGAGGCGAAAAAAATATATGTATGCAAAGGGAAAAAATTCTTGGTTTACATCCTAGGCTTGCCAATGACACTTAAAACTGAAAGCTCAAAAAATTGTTTTTTAAATAAGTGTGTAAATTTAATTGTGTGTTATATAACAAAAATCTTTTTAATTATAACATAAATATTATATATTTATTTTTTCAAAATTTTTAAATTTATTAAAACTTTGTAGGTCTTTAGGAAAGGGTAGAGGACATATATTAACTAAATGTAATTAAATTTAATATAGTTAATTCATATGCGGCGCTGGGGCATCCCAACTGGATATTTAAAAATAAAATTTTGGTACGCAACTGCTTTTAAATTTAATATTATTTTTAGAACGGGAAATTTAAAATACAATTGTCTATTAAATTTTTTCTTTATCTATATTTTCAAGAAAAAAAATTAAAAAAATGTATTAGCTTTTTTTCCAAAACATCATTATATATATTTTTTACTTTTAGTTTTAAATGAAATTGATAAGTTGTTGACAGAACATTTTTTTTCTTTTGTGTATAATTTTTTTTTACCTTAATGATAATTAATTACAGAATTACAGAATTAAGCGGATATTCGACTCCCTCTACTGTATAAATACTCTATATATACAGAGTATTTATATCTTAGGGTTGTCGCCAATAGTCAAATTTCCAATTTTAAAATAGTTTTTGGCTTTATTTAAAACTTGATTAAATGATAAAAAATGATCGATGTTAATTAAATTAAATAGTTTAGTTTTTTGTAAATATTAAGTAAATGTAAAATTTAAATCCTAATTAAATTTTTTAGACTATTAGCACCTTATTACGATTTCATTTATTTGCCTTTTTACAAAAATAAAAACTCTATTTTTTTAAAACAACAACACATAGGTTTAAGTTTATAGACTAAATTTAAAATTTTTATATAAAAATAAACTTTTACAAACAGGAACTTGGGAAATAAAGTACCATTGGTACCATTATTCCATAATTGCATTCGTAATTTTTTACCAGGGTATAAAGAAAAGCAACAAATATAATAATAAAGGGTGTCTCAATAGTTCCTATGAACGCCGTATTTGATGTTAATTAATTACCTTAAAAGTTTGAAAATAATTTTTATTTTTATTTCGATATAAATCTTCCGATTATGCATGAAATAAAATATACTACAAATGCCCACTACGACTTTGCTGGCACACCCTTTAGCTTTTAATGATTTTTTTATAACATTTTATTTATTTATTTATTTATTGCCCAACAGAATATGTTCCAATAACAGGACAAAATATATACATATAGAATAGTATATTAAAGTACAAGTTGCAGAAGGCCACATATTCTCGCACGAATTCGAAATTTGGCCTCGAGCGACGAAGGAGCGAGTGGACGAACGAATGAGTGCGAGAATAGCCTTCTGCAACGTGTGATTTATACTATTTTCTCGATTTTAACTTTTATTTAGGTTTTTTTAATTTTTTTGTGGTCGTTGTTAGTTGGGGGATTTTTCTCGCAAAATATCAGTTGGCAACACAAAATGACAGTTGAATGGACAGGTAGATTTTTATTTACTATTAAAGTTTATTAATAATCTGTCTGTATTTGTCAACTGGATAATAAGGTTTTGTGTAAGTATTGTATTATTTTTTAATGTTTTCTGATAATTTTGAACAATTGTGTTTACTTTTAGCAGTGAAAAATGTCACAGGGGGTTTTACAAGCAACACCGAACATTACAAGTTAATAACAATTGTGCTAGTGATTAATTTTTAGTAGTTTTGTGTACTGTGGGTAATAATATTTCCAATAAAATATAGTTTGATTGACCTGTTTGGCTCATTTATTTGTCAATATTTGTTATCCTGCACAAGTACAACCTGAACTGCACTTTTTCACATTAAACTTAAAATTTTGCATTGTTGGAGCAAACTTAATAAATATAACAAAACAATAATAAAGACTTCATTTTCAATAAAAGTGTAGTTCAGGTTGCACTAGTGCAGGATAACAAACAAAGCTATTATAAATAATCCTAAAAGTAATGAATTTGAGGTTATTAAACAGTTTGACATTTTGGGGGTACCAATACTTAAAAACTAAATGTTACCAAAAATCGTTTAAGAATGAGCTTCATTCTTCAACGATTTTGCGTGCGAGAATATGACATTCTTACATAAAAATCGAGAAAAGAAATTTGTTAAGTATAATATATTATGAATAATATTAAACTTAAACTAAATTATAATTGCTAGAGGCGGCACTAACTATACTATTAAAAGTCTGGTAAAAAATATCACATGAGCTACAGTAAATATTAAAGTATCTACACATTCTCTGAACGGGTGAATTATACATGGCATTTATTCTAGGTGTTTTATATGTAAAAGTTAATTGACTACGGCTTTGAAAAAATGGAACACGCAAATTCACCGATTCCAGCAGTGCTATAGAATCACTATGGTTATGCAACAGTCCATACAAAAACTTCAAATGCATTATTATTTTTTTTAGCTTCAAAGGATGTAAAGAAAATCTATTAAGAACTATACTATTAAAAGTCTGGTAAAAAATATCACATGAGCTACAGTAAATATTAAAGTATCTACACATTCTCTGAACGGGTGAATTATACATGGCATTTATTCTAGGTGTTTTATATGTAAAAGTTAATTGACTACTGCTTTGAAAAAATGGAACACGCAAATTCACCGATTCCAGCAGTGCTATAGAATCACTATGGTTATGCAACAGTCCATACAAAAACTTCAAATGCATTATTATTCTTTTTAGCTTCAAAGGATGTAAAGAAAATCTATTAAGAAACTTCAAGTGGTTTGTTCCTATAGCGGGATAGATACCGTCAAGTCTAAAAAAAAAAATTCAAAAATTTTCTTTGTATCCTTTCAAGCCTATCTTTATAAATATTGTATTGCGGACTCCAAACAATACAGCAGTATTCCAGCTTAGATACAACAAATGCGTAATAAAGAGACTGAAATGTTCTAATATCTCTAAAACCAGTATTGCGAATTATAAATCCTAAGCTTTTCATAAATCCAGAAGCAATGTTCTCAACATGATTGGAAAACGTGAATTTATTATCAAACAATACACCCAGATCACGAATGGTACAACATTTCTCCAAAACGAGTCAAGCCTATAATCAAATTCAACACTAAGTAAAGTTTTCAAGGTGTAAGACATAACCTTACATTTAGATATATTAAGTTTTAACTTGTTGATTTTACACCAATTTACAATATGATCAAGATCAGCTTGAAGCGATACACAGTCGTTAATACCACCGATCCTGGAAAATACCTTCAAATCATAGGCAAATAGTAGTTTTTCACACTTGATACCATCAGCCAAGTCATTAATAAATAGTAAAAATAGGAGTAGACCCAGGTTAGACCCTTGGGGTACTCCAGAAGTGGGAGTAAATTTTTCCGAACAAAATCCATTGTAGCTGACATATTGGTGACGGACTTCAAGATATGAGTTAAACAGTAATAACAGTGAATCAGACAGCCCAAATGATTTCAATTTAGAAATAAATATTCCATGATCGATGGTATCAAAGGCCTTGGAAAAATCTGTATAAATTGTATCGACTTGGCCTTTTTCATTGAACTTGAACTTGAAACGTAATTTGAAAAGCAGGTCAAATTAGTGACAGTTGACCGTTTAGACATAAATCCATGTTGATACGGTGATAAATAATTGATTAATAAGGGATAGATCTGATTATAAATACATATTTCAAGTACCTTAGCAAAGTTAGATATTATTGATATAGGTCTATAATTTTCAATGTTAGCAGGATCACCACTTTTAAATACTGGACAAATTTTGGCAATTTTCCAACAAGTGGGAAAATTGCAGGATTTAATAGAAATGTTAAATAAATATTGCAAAGGCTTAACAAATGCATTGGCACAATCATTAATTAGGAAGCTTGGTATGTTATCATCTCCAGCTGTAAA